AAGCCAAGAATTGATACCCGGAGAGGACCAATTGTCAACTTGGGTCGAAATCAGACCCTGAGATATAAAACTATACACCTATGGTGACATCGGGGTTCTTTTGGAGATCACAAAGTAAGATTTAATAGCAAACTTGATAAGGTTTCAATGAGCATTAATTTTGTGTGATTTGAATTTGTAATGACTTTGTAAGAGCCTTAGAAAGTTAAGATTGTTTTGGATGATTTGGATTTTTATAAAATAAAAGAAGATTGATATTTTGGTAGTTTCAAGAGTTTTGTAATAAATCTATGGGTGAAATTTTGTAGATCAATGGTTATAGTTGTGTATAATATTTGTTAAAAATTTTAGCCTAATCTAACAGTTGAATTGAGAGTTATTGAGATTTAGGTGGGTTAGAATCTCAAAAAGTAGAATTTTAGGTCTAGTGAGGATTTCTAAGATTTCTTGCAATCTGTTAATTGGATTAAAGTAAAAGTTGTGTGTGTGTATAGTAGACTTTTTTTTCTATAAATTAAAGAAATTTGATATTAATTTAATGATGCAAAGGAGAGATATTAGCACTGGAAGATCAACATCAAGGTTGGAGAAGGAGGCCAGCTAACATCTAAGTAGTTTTTAGGATTTTTCTTCTATTTGGTAATTGTGATTGTCCTAAAATTTATTGTACTTATTTGTAACTAAGAGATTGAGAGGTATATAAAAGATTAAACAAGATCAATGATTTAATCAAAAAATAATGAGGTTCTAAACTACCTTGAGATTTGGTTTAGGATTTAGAATTGATTAGGATTTGATTTAGGAATTAGGATTTGGTTAAGTTATGATTAAGATTTGATTTAGGATTTATGATTTGATTAAGGTTTGCTCAAGGTTTGGTTAGAATTTGATTCAAGATTTAGGATTTGATTAGGATTTGATTAGGATTTGATTTAAGGTTTAGGATTTGGTTGAGATTTGATTTAGAATTTAGGATTTGGTTAAGATTTGATTTAGGATTTAGGATTTGGTTTAGGATTTGATTGAAGTCTATTAGGATTTCAATTAAGATTAAATTAGAACTTAGTTGAGATTTATTTAAGATATATTGTGATAATTTTAATATTTTTTTAAGGCTTCTTAAGGATTCTTTTAAGATTTATTGTGGATTATCTTTCAACTCCTTTAAGATTTCTTATTGTCTCTTTTGTAATTTTTTTAAGGTTTCTTTTTGAATTTGATTGAAGCTTATTTAGCATTGTTAAGGTTTAATTAGAATTTCTTTAATATTCTATTAGAATTAAAATTTTGTTATTGTAATTTTCATTCTACCTTCCACAATCAAGTGCCCGATGCACTCTCAAGCAACACTTCACGTATTACGACACCGCATTTCTACAGCGATTTTTAATGTTGCATATGGCCCCGAGCATTTACGACATATTCGAATCCATCCAATTTTCTATGTTTTCCAATTGAAAAAATTTCATACTAAGCCAAAGTGCTTTTTGGATTGATACCAACCACCACCACCACCAGTTGTAGTTAATAATCAAAAAGAATATGAAGTAGATAGCATTTTGGAGCATTACTACATTTACCATGGTAGTGGACATTTACAACTTCAATACAAAGTTTTTTAGAAAGGTTATTCCATTCACAATGCAATAAGGGAACTTGCTTAAAACCTCACCTTTTGCCAAGAGACAATTTGGAGATACCATTGGGAGCGAAACGAGGATGTTCCACATTAGTGGAGAGAGATTAATTGTATCAGGGTATAGATAAGGTATTTATATATGGATAAATAGTTAGAACCATGGAAGTTTCTAGAAGTGGGGTTAGGTTAGTAGACTAGGGAGAACCCACTGTAGAACATTTTAGAAAGAGTCAGGGCACTTATTTATGTAAGGTCCACCATAGAAGCTTCTAAAAAATATTTAAGGCTATTATCTAAGTAGAGCCCATCATAGAACTTTCTAAAAAAGACTTAGGGTGGTTATTTAGGTGGAATTTACCACCTAAGAATATTCTAAAAAGTCCAAGGTGGTAAAACAAGATATAAATAAGATTGGCTAAGGCCTTTTGGGGCATTTGGCCAAGTATGGCTTTGGATCCTTTTTCTTAGTAAAATTTGGTTTTTCGTCTTTCTGTTTAGTTTTGTTCTGTTTTATTTTTGTTTACTCACTTTTGTCTTTCATGTCCTATTTTGTTTAGTTTCGATTAGTTTTCTTTTGGTCTATTTTATCTTATTTTATGATGAGACTTTATGATATTGTGGATTAGAAGAATCTTAGGTTTTTGAGATGGTTTGGTCCTGTTTCATTAAAAGTGGATAGTCTATAACCTTCAAACACAATAATAAAAATAGAATAATCCATTCACTTCTAAAAAAAAGACAAGAAAATTGAGTTGGCACTTTTGTCAAATTGTCAAGGACATGAATTGCACAGAACCAAAAATTCAAAATATTCTTATATAATTCAAAAAGATTAAATAGTTATTCAAAACTAATATAGTATTGCAATTGAGATGGCTATTACTAAAGACAAAAAGACTAGAAAGTTTTAAAGTAAGAAGAAGGACTAAAAAGACGTTGATAAGAGTGAAAAAAGCTTCATTCTCGCTCCCATATATACTATCTAATTAAAAGCTATGTAATGATGTTCTACAAGATCTCCGACATGTATTCAATTTGCAAGATATGTGTCTTAACTTACAAAGCAAGTTTCTCATATATACGCCACATCATTATCTAATACCACAAGCTACTAACATATATAACATGTGACTAACTTGTTAGCCAAGTTTCTAACCTACTAATCACCTATAGATATGTATAAAATTGAAATTGCATCTATGAAGCTTTTGTATAAGATATTATTAAATTAACCTACTTTTATCTATTCATAACATCTAGATAACTATTGGAGTGAATATATTTGTCCATAACACCAATATGCTATGATTCAATAGTTTAAGATCAATGCATACTATTAGCAAGTTCCAAAAAACCATGTTGTCTTTGTAAAAAATAATGTCATAGTTTAATAGTGTAAATCATAATATTAGATTAATAAACCAATAATATGAATATAAATTTGAATATAAAGCTTCGGTTATTCCTATAACATTCACACACTGTCTTCATCATTTTTGTTTTTTTGTATTACACCATGTAATTAATCTTATAAAATTACACATTTTATTTAAATTTTATTTCTTTAGATTATAGATAAAATTAATTGATAAGCTTAATTAATTAAAATTTTAGATAAAATTTTACATTAATTGATGAATCAATGATTTGATGACATCTTAAATTTTAAAAAATTCACAGTTTAGAAATGAAGATTATTAGACCATCATACATTACAAGTTGAGTGCAAGATCGAGTTAGAGACAATTGGTGGGCGAGTCTTTGAATCGGAAGTGCTAGAATAGTAGTCACTTCTCCAGCTGCAAGCAACATCCAGATAAGCTGGAGAACTTCGCTTCCATGAGGATAAATACCAACTCAAAGAGAGTTATCCCGAGAGTTAAACTTTAATCTCTCGCATTTGCTTCTGAGAAGCAACACAAATAGACTTGTCGACGAATGAATTCATGAGGGAAACAGGCGCAGATAGTGTATAAAGTCTGCAGACCCTCTTTTGGAAAATCCGGGTCTCCTCGCAGGTTTCGCGATGAAGTCTCTCGATTCCTCCATTGTAGGATCGGACGAGTTCGATGAGTAAACATTCAGTTGTTGATTCAAAGATCGTTCTGGAATATCTGGGCTTTTGTGCCAAGTACCCAGTTCCGCCACGGAGGATCCGTGCTCCTGTGCTCCGGATGTTAGGCCCATAGTTTAAGCAGTACCTACCTACTCCTCCTCGAAGAGATGAACCAATAATTTTAAACAACCCTGCAGCTCGTGCAGTCACTGGTTTACAGGCTCGTCGCAGAATACAAATCGTCATCGAGGTCTCTGGAGACTGGAGTTCTAAACCATGTTTGAGGTTTGATGTAGATATCCAACCTGCTCAGGTTCCAGAAAATGCAATAAACATGCATGCATTTTTGGGCTCTATTAGCCCGCAAAGCAGATAATGCAATCCCCAGCTCTGGTCAAACGACGTCAACTCACAGCACAGCCTCATTTTACTACATGGCCCAAAGGAATTTATTAATACCGACATTCGTACATGAGCGAGTACAAGCGTACTGAACATGGATATTTAGTTTCCCTATGGCAGTACTTTTTTGTTACTCTGATGTCTCGCAAATCCTAGATCCCCCAGGTGCGATCTCTTCATTCTGTAGCTTCGTGAGCATTCTGGTGTTTTGGCTGAGTCACGGTCTTTACTGCACCTCCTAAAATTCAGAGGATCGTGCTCGGAATCTTTAATTATAATTCATTATGAACAAATGCAGTATTTAGATATTCATGACTAAAAACGGTCAATCTTGCTCATGTCATCACAGTGAGAGCAAATTTGAACTATCTCAAGACGTTCTCGTTTTGGAACTACAGCTATATTGACATTCTTAACACATGAATATATACACAAAATATATATAGACAATCACTTAACAGGGTTTAGGGTTTAGTAAACTGTAAACCCTCTTATGTACAAAGATTTGAGTCAATTATTTTACAAAAATATTTTTATTTACAAAAATCGATATTGTATTATGTGTTGTGAAGAATTATTTTAATATTTGAAGAATCTATAACAGAAAAAAAAAAAAAAACAAAAAACAAAAAAACAAAACAAAACAAAACAAAAAATAATACAATGGATGAAGGGTTTCAGAAAGATTGATGTCAAAGAGTTAGTTGGTTACAAGGATTGCAAAATACTTATCAAGAACTAAGACCCATGTAATAATCGCAAAGCCGATTCTGGAGGGTCGTCAGGACTCCCCAATTGACCTCAAGACCACTGAATGGATTGCGAGGGAGCTTCGTTCGTTCGTAGAGCGTGTGATTGACTCAGCGGACGACGATATCCACTCCCTGCGCAATTTCAGCTTTCGACGGCGTGTGTTTCTTCGGCGTCCCTTAGATCTCTCTCCCCACCTTCTTCGTGAAAGTGTGTGCGCCGTGATGGATGTTGTATGCGCTGAACCATCCTGGCAGGTGCTACTCTGGCGTGCAAGTGGAGGTGCGAGTGATGAGCAGCTCGGTTGATTTTTCGTTGTCGGGGTCGCGATTCGGCTAGTCCTTGCCTTGGGCCGCACTCTCATCTCTTTCTGGATTCTTCCTCTGTGCTTCACCGCCGCCGATGTGCGGCTCTTAGGGTAATCTTCTGTTTGGGGGGGATGTAGTCGATCGATCAGCTCGTTTTGTTTGTGCGCTTCTGTGAAAGTTGCGGTTTCGAGCACTTGTCACTGTTCTGGCTACGGTACCGCCATCGATCTCAGGCCCTGGCACATTCCATGCAATGCATGCTGCGGATATGGCAGATTTGCTAGGTTTACGAGCTACAGGAACTGTAGCCGGTTTCTTTTGTTGCCAGAGACGCGGATTCGCTGTTAGACATGAAGCGACGAGGTCCTTTCCTTTGAATGTGCCTGCGTACTCTGAATAGTACTCACGTTCATATCTTGGTTTTCCTGCTCCTACTTAGAATGAGGTCGCGGAAAGGGACGATGAGATGCCGAGTATTTTGCACTCAATTCGGCTTTTGTGAAACGAGTATTCTGTCAAATGCCAGATTAGTTTACTACATCTCACTTTAGACCCGAATTTTGTTGAGGGATTTTCCGTAGATATGATTGCTTACTCATTCTTGGGGCAACGTTGGAGATTTTCTTTGCGTAACTTTATTGTAGAATGGAAAAGGTGTAACAGGAATCCGTGTGAGTGGTTCGTATAATGCTCAATGAGAGTTCCTGACACTCCGTTCTTAGTGTAGGGTACAGTGTGAAACTTGAGTTGGTGGCGAATGCGTTGTGCTTCTTTTCAAATTCAGTTTTGCCTCTATGTATACACGTTTGACAGAATTTGAACGTAACCAAGCGACGTTTCAAGGCAGAAGTGATCGCTGCGATTGATTCAGATAATATGCTAGGAAGCAGGAAACTAGAGGGACCTTCTCAAGAAAATAGTGCTCATATCTCTCCGCTAGAGAGTTTATTGCATCGAGCATGGCTTCGGACTCACAAACCAAAACTACGAAAAAGTATTACTTCTGCTCCCCCCACAGATGTGTCAGTAGGAAAGCGAGAGTCTTCGCAGGCTTCTTTGCCAGTACTTTCAGAACTTGTTTCTGGTCAAGTAAGTAATGAGGATGGGCAAGATCAACTCTATTTTCACAAGTCGAGATTGGATGCATCAGCGTCGTTCATATCAAGGTTCGTACTCCCAGAGCTAAAATGTTATTCCCAGAAGACATACATCCCAAAATCAGTGTCCACGGAGCAATGGATCTACCGGTTGCCAGGCGTTAGATACGGTTTATCGCAGGGATTGAAGTCACTTTCAGGTTCCTCTACCGGCCTTAGCCGTAACCGTTCAAGCACTGTCAGCCAGGTATCTGGCGTCACACAATCTGAAGTAAGTGGTAGCGATTCGGTCGACTCTGAGGAACACACACAGCCTTTAGCTAGCTATCTCGAAGGCATCCTTACGGAAGAAAATCTGGAAGAAGAAAATACCATGTTGTGCAAGACTAGTGCTTACCAGGGTATAGCGAAAGAGATTTCTGATCTTATTGGCCTGGAAGTCCCAACTGATCCTGACGGATCCGATGTGAATTCTGATCGTCATTGGGCGGACGTTGAATCCCATTACACCGAAGAAGAACTACGCATAGTAGAAAAGAGTAGCGCTTATGAAGCCATGACAAAAGAGATTGCGGAACTCATTTCTCCACCGCACTCTGATGTGCATGATGCTTTATCAGCCGAATCGTCAAATGAGGTGTATGTCTCCAAATCTGACTTTAAGCCAACCATGGAACTTGCGGCTCGGAAAATGATAGAGGCGTACACTTGCATGCTAAGCAAGCACATGGCGGACATGTCGATCAATACTGACAACGAGGATTCCAAGAATCGAGTCGCTAACACTGATGGCCTCAATTCAAGTCTTTTAATCTACTTCGATGAGGATTGGAGAATATACCTACATAATCTCAACCAAAACTTCACGCCATCCTCCAATTTCGACTTCAACATGCTTCTTTGTGGAGCAAGTTTAGGGTCAAAGACGTTAGAGGATAATGCTGTTGCCACCACCTCAGGTGGTAGTTTGACGGAATTACTCTACAAGTATGATTTTACCGTAACATTTGTTCAATGCTTTCAGTACTTGAGAAGTGAATACACAGAAGTCAAACATAAGTGAAGAGCCCGATCAATGTTTAGAAAGTGCTTGTAAACAAATTTGCGGTTCACTTCAGTTAAACATAAGTCTGATGATTCACAAGAAACGCATAGTATCTTTTGCCTCCTAAAGTTGATGTAATACTGCAGGTGTGCACTCGCAGTGAGTCAGGGCGATGCAAGAAATGCCACGGACTTGTTAGCTGAACTGCGGCTGAAATCAAGTAACCAGGGGAATCCCACACAGCGCATGGCTCATTATTGCATGGAAGCTCTGGTGAGTTAGCTCTTCGCTCTCAATCTACTTAGATTAGCGTCACTAATACTTCTTTGGCATAACATCGCCACAGAAGAGTGCAATTTACTACTAGGGTCCAATGGCATTTGTCCTTGTACATCAACATCGAATCTGTATCTTCTCCCTGAAACAAGCGGACAACGTGTGATTGAGGTTGTTAGTACAGAATTGTAGCTCGGAATCAGTCGCCCTCGATCCACTGTGTTTTTGAACTCGAATGTTCGTAGGAGAGGAGACTATTGAAGCATCACAGTTGAATTAAACTGTGCCCTTACTTGTAAACTTGGGTGTGGGGTGTTCCGATGCACATATAGTTCGTAGATGTTCGACACGTAAATCTAACTTCGATCTTATTCAAGCATCAGAAAGCGCTTTTCTGTAATATTCTTCCTACCTGCAGGTTGCAAGAATGTCAAAGACTGGTGAACAGCTTTACAATGTCATCATGAATAGCGGCCCCTCCGATGCAAGACTGTTCAAAGCTATTCGACTGTACCTCGAGAATTGTCCTTACATCAAACTTGCTCATTTTTTCGCCATCAAAGCCCTTCTAGATGCCTGTGAAGGTGCCACTCGTATTCATCTTGTATGCTACGGAATTTGCTATGGTGTCGAATACCCGAGTTTCATTCAACAACTGTCACTAAGGGGTGGGAAATTACCTCATCTTCGTATGACAGGTATCTGCATTCCTTCTCTAAGTTGTAGACTTATAAAGCACTCGATAACAACTTTGAAGATACGCGTCGTGCATTTCTGTTCACCTTGTTGAGCTTATGTCTTTGTGTCCTGTTACTTTTGTTTGAAGCAACATGCCGAAATACACTGCTCTACTCTGTATAAAGTCTCTACTTTACGATGACAGTTATTGATTCAGCAAGTCCTGGAGATGATCCCGCATCAAAATTACATGAGACTGGGCGTCGGCTGACGGCGTTTGCGAAGGATGTCAATTTACCGTTTGAGTTTGTCGGACTGGCTGGAAACTGGGAATCATTTACAGCAAGAGACATGAACTTAAGGGACGATGATGTGCTTCTAGTGTACAGCGTTGGCTTGCACCGTCTTCTTGATGCGTCGGTTGTGGCCTCAAGCCCTCGTGAGGTTGTGTTGAGGAGGATCCGAAGCATCAATCCTAAGGTATATAGATGACAATAATTAGAATTCTCAATCTTTACCAACAATTCTATTAATCAGCATTTTCCCTTCAGACAGCTCACTTGCGTGGATGTTAGCAACTATAACATTGGGTGGTCATTTGTTTTTGAAGGTTTGCTTGTTTCAGTATTCTTTCTGAACTATATTTGCGTCTATGGATATTGGTTCAGTAGTATGTTGATTATAGCATTAATTCAAACGTGGTACAAATTTGCAGGTATTTGTTATGGTGACGCTAAACGGAGGGTACAATGCTCCTTTTTTCATGACCCGCGTCCGAGAGTGTGTCAAGTTTTTCTCTGCAATGTATGAAGGGATGGAGATGTGTATGCCTCGCGATGATCCAGACAGAATCATTATTGAACGAGAAATTTTTGGTTTAGAGATAATGAACATCGTTGCATGCGAAGGACGAACGAGAGTGGAACGTGCTGAGCCTTACCGGCAATGGCACAACCGACTGCAACGGATAGGCTTCACTCAACTGCCACTCAATCCGATAGTTTACTCCAAGATTACTAGCATGATGAGTGCTTATCACAAAGACTACGGAGTAGGTGAAGATAATGGCTGGTTTCTGATGGGAATAAGGAATCAGATCATCAAATGTTGTTCAGCTTGGGAAGCTAAAACATCTGTAAGTTTGCGCCCTATTTTATAACCGGCACATTGGCTTCTGTTACGTACGGTTGTCAACAGAGAATGAGTTGCAGATTCTGTTAATCTTCAGCTCTAACCTCAAATTTTGATCCATTTGGAGGGTTGATGGGTCGTCTCATACCAATACGAGACTCCAAACATTGAGAAAGAGAGACAAGTCGAAGAATATAGGTTCCACCCAAACCTTCAACTCTCACGCACTCGGTCCCTTAAACATCCGAATCCGCAGCAAACTCTCGAACATGACATTGCTGCTATGGTCCCAATCTAGCGATCGTCTTAGTTTGATTTAACTGAAGTGAACAAGCTACAGTACGCCTCTAGATTTGTGTAGACTCACATTTAAGCAAATTCCCAGTAACAAGCAAATCTTGAACTTGCCGAAGATGGTTGAGTGGGTGACAGCCTACGTTTGCACCAAATTGGGGTACCCCTGATAATTTGCTTGTTGCACCGTTATGCGGACTGCTTCTTTGCACTTATATAATTTAAAAATAAAATAAAATAAAAATAGAAATAGGTGAGTTTGAATATTGGTTTTAATGTTTGATCAAATTTTTGCCAATTTACATTCATAATGTTTTCGAATTGATCTATAATAGCAGACTGGTTCAAACAAAAATCATGATTTTTCTTATAACTCATTTACTTATCTACATGGTCAATGTATTGCAATCTAGTTTCTATTTTTTTCTTCTTATAATACATCATTAAAGACATTGCATCAAATGCAAATTGTTTTTTTTTTTTTTTTTTTTGTCAATCTGCTAAGTTAAAATTGTGAAGAATATATTGCAAGGATTGTATTTTCTTTCGGTATTTTATATAATGCTTTAGTTTCTAAATATTTACAATGTACTTTTGTTTTTATCTTGTTTGTCTTTTGTAACTTTTAACTTTCTAAAATAATCTTTGCATTGATAAACACATCTTAGGATTGATTATTTCACTTATAAAAAGCCAAGAATTTAAAAGAAATCAATTGATATTAATAACATGTGATATCCAATCTTTCTAAATTATATTTAAAGATTATGTTTTTTTGACAATATAATTTATTGCCAAAATTTGTCTTCTAAAAATCACAATAGATGTTAAAAAGGATGTTTTAACAAAAGCCTTTATTTGTTATATACTTAACTTCTTTCATATTATAATCTTGTTTGATTTCATGCTTGTTAAGCCTTAGAATAGTTTGAGACCAAATATAAGTAACTTTAGCCACTTTTGTAGTTTTAATTGTCTAATTTATTCCTATATCTTAGACTAATAACATTCAAAATTAGATTTTAAACTAGTGAATGAAGTATTTATTGTCTATGCAATCTATTATGGAAAATAAATAAATAAATAAATAATAATAAATAAAATCTTGACTTTATAATCTTACTATAGAACAAATTCTCTTAAGTTGCAATGTTGTCTTTATTCAAGATCAATTCATGATTAGTAGTATAATTCTTTTGTCTCTATAGTTCTTTTTTACAATGCTAATGCATAGATTTTAAAATTAATCTTTTTACATGGTGTTCTATTCTATACCAATCTATTTGCATATAATGACATGTTTATGCATTATATTCCAACTATAAATAATTGCTTCGATACTTCTACTACATTAGTTAGTATTCATTCTTACACCAATATAATCAAGTCTTACACCCTTATTCTTCTATTACTTCAACTTAATTGTCTTTTCATTATACAAGCATTGATCATCTATTGGATCCATTGTTTCAAGACCTCTATGCTACCTATAACTTTCTTCAAGCCTTATTACCTCTATTGTAGTACCTTTCATAATTACTATCTACTTTGATTTCTACTTTATATGTCCTTCCACAATCACCTAATATGAATAATATTCCACTTAACTTTATGTTTTATTCTTGCAATATTATATTATTATTTAGAAGTCTAATTAAGTATTGATTTATACAAGCTTTGTAACAAATTTTACTCAAAAAACTTATTATTTCATCAAATCTTTCAACAATGTATTAAAAGCTTTTAGATTTCTACCAAGTTACAAAATTATTTTTTTGCAAAATTATTTTTCTGCACCTTCTCAATTCAAATTTGGAAGCCTTATTGTATTAAATAGAAGCAACTAATATAGTTGAATTTTTTATAAAAAAATTGAGTATAAAGAAATTTACTTAATTTCTTTATAGATTATAAAATAAAACATTTAATGATGTAACTAGATAGTAATTTTTTATAAAAAAATAAATAAATTATTTAATAAATAATCATTTTAAAAATAATTTATACATTATTTTTTATTATTTTTTAAAGAAATAATATTAGCCATGTAGTATATTTAATGCAAATTAATTTTTAATAAATATATGTGTATATATATATATATATATATGAATTTTTTACTTAAACAATAATGTTGTATTAAAGACACTATATCTTTAATTATCAATATTCTTTAATTTTAGCAAGTTGTTCAAAGACACAACAATAGTAGTGCTAAAAACTTACTATTATTTAAAGAGTCTATAATCATTCTTATATTACATACATAAAGGAAAATGTAAATTTTTTTTCCTTCCTATCTTATTGCATAAAAAATTATTAAAAATTTCTGTTTAGTATGATCATGTCATATCTATAATTGTAAAATTATATAAAAGAGTTGTTTCCAAGATAAAAACAATCATTCAAGATTAAAATTGTTTAGATAAATAATGTCATAAATGTTAGTAAGTTGTTTAAATTTTATTTTAAAAATCAAAGAATATTTTATTGCAAACTTATAAATAATTTTTAATTTTGAAACATAGTAAAATAGTCCCTTAATCTTTGGTAAGTATAACGCTGCTCAAAGAATTATACTAGCTAGTATAAAAGTCTAAAAAGTTTATCCATCTGGAATTCATTTAAAGAAATTGTATAGCAAAAAATGATAATGTTACTAAAAATAGTATAACAGAGATATTGACTTTTGAAATACTAAGATAAATAATATTAAACATTTTAATATAAAAACAATAGAAGTGATATTTATCTTAAAAATTTTAATAGATATAATGTTTTAAGATAAATGAAATTAAACGTCTTTGAAAAATTAAGCATTATACTATACATTAAAGCACAAAGAATTTTATTTAGTATTGAGTTTAGAAGAAAGTTAGAAAATAATTGATTAAAGATGAAAATAAAATAAAAAAATTACGAGTAATTTGAGTTGTTTTATTATTTTTTTTTTCTTATGCAGATTGATAGAATTTTAAAAGAAAAACATAATACATAATATCACAAAATACAAATAATTATTTTTTGAAATTTTCAATCTTAATATATATTTCGTATTTTATTTTAAGTAGACATTTTAATATAGTGTAAGTATTCTTAGTACAAATTATATCTAATATTATATTTTATAACTTTATATATGTAATTTTTTACATGATTTTTATTTTTTAATAGTAATTGAGTGATTAATTTTTACGTTTATGAACTAAAGTTCTTAATTTTTTTCTTAAAGCATTTAAATATAGCAATTGGATATAATAAATTCAAATAAATTTATTATTGCAAATAGAATTATTTATGGTTCTTCATTGTATATATATATATATGATATGTTAATTTTATGAAATCCATATTATGTTTCTAAACATATTTTAATATCTTACTATATTAAAAAATAATTATATAATATTCTTTGTATTTATTTTCCAAAGTTACAATTAAATCATATAATAAAAAAATTGATGGGCTATTCGTATTGTCTCATAAATCTAATATAAAATTTAACTATCTTAAATTTTATGTGATATGATATTCATAATTTTTATATCTATATATATAAAACTAGTTTAAAATAATTTCATTTAGATATCCATATCCTAAATCATAATTTAAGTGATCAATTTTACATGTGACAACATAAATTTTTTCCACACATTAACAACACATTAATCATACATGTTTAAGATTTCATATGCCTTGTTTAAAATTAGAAACTAATTCTATGAACACATCACATGAAACATTATAGCATTTCTTCTCATTTCTTTCTAATCATGAAAAATTTATCTACAAAACCAATTATAATTCCTATCCATGAACAAGAAACATAAACCCAAACAGAAACCAAAACAGAGAATGCAATCCCTACTTATACAACCACTTTGGTTTCTTTATTTCTTTATTTATTTTTCTTAAAACAAACTTCAAGTTCCCCAACACAAAACACGAATATCGGTGTGTGAACATGACATTCCGTCGAAACGCAACCAAGTGTGAACGGGGCTATTTCCCAAACATTTGAGCGTGTCTTCCAATTTTGTGCAGAGGGAGGGGTTTACATCAATTCGAGAGTCTACACTGTTTTTGCGGTGTCGGCGCGTCTCCGGAGCTCATTTCATCGCTCAATCGCTGCGTTGTTGCTACGTTCTCGCAAGCATTGTTCCATCACAGCTCGGTTAAGAGCTTCGGTAAATCCAGGTCGTCACCATGAGGTGCGTAGAATGATGCTTTAGCCCAAGTTGTTGTTTCATTGTAGCTGTTGCTTCGAGACCCCCCCCCCCCCCCCACCCTCCCATGGAACATAATCTCACCGGATGGGTAGTGTTTGGAAGTGGAGAGGGTTCCGAGAATGACTTTGTTGTTTACACTTCCTGTGTATTGCTGAAGTTTTCTACGATGAACGTGCCGATTATGTGGGTCTACGGAGGTTTAGGGTTTCTGGGGAAGATTCTTTGTGCCCTTTATGATGCTCAGTATTTGGGCAACCCGATCATTTAGTGCTTACATTTGTATATACTGACTTTGAATTGGGGTCTGGGGGTTTGGGTATTGTAGTGCAAGACCAATGGAGGAAGACACCGTAAGTTTCTCTCTGCTGTGTATGTGTGTGTGTGTTTTTTACGGGTATCTAACAGTTTTCTGTAGTGTAGCAAATTTTATTTCCATTTTTATGAAGAATGGATAATTTTTCCCCGGATGAGTGTTCCATTTGATATGGTTGGCTTATTGTATGTGGGAAATTGGTGTGTAGGAAAAAACGGAAGAGGAAGAATTCTCCACTGGCCCTTTGTCTGTGCTCACGATGTCCGTGAAGAACAATACTCAGGTTTGTGGTTTTTGTGCTTATGGATATTGCAAAGTTTGGATAGTTATAATTAACTGCCTATTTCACTTTGATTTCACCGATTATACCGGATGATTTTATAGTTTTGTATAATCCCCCACATTGAATATGATGACATCATATGTCATGGACTGACTCGTATCTTTACAAATGTTGCAGCTTGCTTAGCTTTAGCAACGACCATTGTTTAAAGTGTTGTTTTTGTTGTGAGTTGACGTCTTATATTTAACGGGGAGTATTTTACATGCTAGGTTCTTATCAATTGCCGAAATAACAAGAAGCTATTAGGGCGAGTGAAGGCATTTGATCGTCACTGCAATATGGTTCTTGAAAATGTGAAGGAGATGTGGACAGAGGTGCTCCATGACATCCTGCACTGTGATCTTTTCGACTTTTCTGCTTTTGTAACTGTATTCAGGATAGAGAAGCTCAATTCTGATAAATTTCAGTGTAGTTTTTCGCTCAGCCATAATAGGATGTTGATGTCTATTTTTTTCTGTTTTTTGGATGTCTCATTAGGTGCCCAAGACTGGTAAAGGAAAAAAGAAAGCCAAGCCTGTGAATAAGGACCGCTTTATCAGCAAAATGTTTCTAAGAGGAGACTCTGTTATCATCGTTTTGAGAAACCCAAAATGATTGACTGCAGCCGCGGCCAAGTGGGGGCTTGTGGTATCACATATTGGTCGAAGGAATTTTGACCCGGGGAACAAACGATCTTCTACTTTGAATTTCAGATAGCTCACAAAGGTGCAAGTGTAATAGATGCTGAAAGCTTATTGTTTTTTTTATCTTAAATACCAATAGGGTCTTGTTTTCTCAAGCAGCTTCTTTAAGCTGTATACCTTGACATTCCACTCTATTTTCAGCTGCACAAGTGGTGCACGAGTGATTCTCATTGAAGTGTAGCCTCTTTCATAAATATGACGTATAATTGTTCGCGGTTTTCTATGTTAAAATGTTCCAAGCTTGCAGCTTTACAGTTGAGAGATAAGGCATGTTGTGCTACCCAGAACAGTGTCTAATTTGTTGTTTCTAGTCTATTTTGGTGAGAAACGAATGTTCATTGACTTATCCGTCGCTTCACTAGTAAATTGGATTCACTTCCCCAATGTGCCTGCTTTCGCATATCCATTTGTCGATTACATCTATCCAGAAAATTTAAGCTGAGCCTTTTTGTAGTTGGTTGTTAGGTGTCAACAAGATCCCCTGCCTAGAGGTTTGTCGATCTGTTATACGAGTGTCGTTGGTGCACGAACACTCCAAGTCATCAACTTGAACGACTACGTTTCCTCTTTCTCTGGACAACACTGGACGCAATTCCAGCTGCGCGTTGGTTAGATATTGTTGCTGCGAGATTGGAAGGTGCAACACCATCGCTCAAGATTTTGTCGTTTTCCTGTCCAACATTTAAATCTCCGATTTTTTTACTAAGCTCAGCTAGCTTCCTTTGGAGCAGTCGACTGAAAGTATCTGTTCCATGTCTGCAACCAGAGTTGTTCTAAGGTCGATACAGTAGTATGTCGAATGAGCGTGATTAGTGTCAGTAGACTATTTGCACTCTTGGATCTACCCCCTGGGCTTCAAATACCTTCGCTGCCATCTCTTTCTGACATGCGCCAGTAGTAAATCGCACAAGACCTCTCGTATGCACGCTCACTTGTGTCAGAGGAATGATGGACTATACATATGTTACCGGAAGCTTCTTACCTGATTTTTTTTTGTTTTTTTTTTTGTTTTTCCCGAATGATGCCGTTGGAATGAGAGGCCGGTGACGTTGTGTGCTGTTAAGGAGGTGCTGATCTACCCAATGTCGACTTGAGAGATGGTCCGAAGCACCTCAATATCGACAATGGCATGTGCTTTGGTATATCCATCAAGTGCAGTATCCTTAACCTCAGTGTTCGATGCATCTTGCAACTCTCCTTTGGACTTGATCAGGAATCATTTAAAAATCACTTTAATTGAAGGAGCTGAGAGTAGGGAAAATCCCTCTTAAATTCCTCTCACCTTTTCATGATAATACAGCTCTGATACTCGAATGTTGTGAATGTTTCTTTCCTAAAATGATTCAACTGTATTTTCTCATTCTAGGCTTGCATCCAAAAGTCCGCATCATCGGAGAAATGTCATTACACAATGTCAATTGATCAATGGCAATGGAACGAGGTGCGGAAGAAAATTCGGGGTATGTCAAGAATGGTACCTTCTTTGAAATTGAACCTGGAGGCCTTCCAAATCTCCAAATCCTTGGTGTAGGTGAAGAAGCTGAATGTAGGGAATATGAGCTTTCTCGACAAATTCTACATCCACGTAGGAATTGAAGAGGTTCACTTGACCATCCCTCTTTCAAACATCCGCCATCTGGTTCCAGCTCTTCTGCTATTGCCACAAAATTGCACTCGAGTTCTCAATGAAATTGGCATCCAGCAGAGTACTGAGCGAAGTCTTTGCAAAGTCAATTTAGATCAGCTTCGACACGTCTGTGACGGATTCACTGAAGGGGACCCATTTCACATGGACATGATTCGCAACGTTGGCTGCTAAGCCATGTCTGCTCAGGGAATTTAATGATGAGGCATTCGAAATCAAAGCACGATCGAAGTTGCTGGAGTGTAGCGTGAAGTGTTGTTTGTGCTACGTTACGTCATCACATCTCCAGCAAGCTATGCCGAATAATAGACTTGGATAGTAGGAATTGAACTAGGATGAGGCTGGGACAAAGCGAGGGATTCATGGATCCTTCAAAGGAAAAGGAACTTTTTTTTTTTTTTTTTTTTTTTTTTTTGACTGGTACTGTTATTTAAGGAATGGGTTGAAACCGCCTCTAAAATATTTTGGTCAACAATTATGTGAATATAGAAGATATCGTCTACTCAAAATGGTTAGAAATTGTCATAGATCTGTTGAAACGATCCGAAACGCAGTTGCTTAAGAATACAAGTGATTCCACGTAATTATGGATCAACTCGGAGTGCGTGAGAAGCCTGAGGTGATCTAATGCGAAGGAGGACTGAGTTGTTGGAACAAATCCTGTGAAAAAAAATGATACAATTTATGACTTCAAAGATCAGAAATAGTTTGACAATTGAAACTCCTTTGGTCTCAGTGTTATGGATTGAAGTGCTGCTCCACTGTGGACTGTGTGGCATTAGTCCCAATATGCCAAGGAGTTTCAAAAAATCAGCTGCACTTTTAACATTGAGAGGTTCGACTCAATTTTAATCACCTGAACACTGGTCCTTTGATTCACGGAAGCGATAATTCAATAACTTTGTTCGAAACGTAATATTCAGTTCTTGTACAAGCTTCCTTCTGACGGCATTACACGAACGTGGTGGTAATTAACAGCCATCTGATTAACAAATGCGTATCTCAGAGCTCGAAGGTTATCACGTTGAATGTGTAATGGGGAACAATGTGGACACATCTCTGCTCCCGTGTGGAGTCGACAGAGTCGTTAGTGAAGCAAGTCTTTTGAGAACTACTGTGTCTCTTGCCTAAAGGTGCTGGTTTGGCCCTCACCACGTAGCCACCATTGTTTGCAAGAATTCATCGCAGAGACGTGCCTCTTAAGCCTTGTTGGAAAGCTGGTCCGTGGTCGAGACAGCTATAAAATGTTAGGAGCTGCAAGCTAAAGATTAAATCTGTAAGTAGCTGCTGAGGTCTGAGGGACTGGATGCTCCCAATAAGAGTTAACACCAAATATATCTGGAAAAGTGAACAACTTGAATATTTAAACTTACCTCCCGGAGGCTTTAAGTGGGACTCCCATTCTCGAGCATTGGCAGCAAGGTTTGTCCGCACAGCCAGGGAAGAAAGGCTTACCATTATCCATAGGCATTGCACATTGTCGTCCACAGGACAAGCATTGGTGTAGAACCCACATCCAATAGCCAACCCTCTCGTACAGTAACTCAGCAATCTCACACAAGCAACATCAGCAGTACTTGTAAGGAAAACGACTGGAAAAGTTTATTTACTTACTGTTGCGCTTCGCGTCTGAGCAGTATTTGCCAAACACGTCGTTCAGCACATTCGTCGATAAGAAAGAGGCTTTCAGCAGCATCAAAACCTACTCATCAACCTTGAAGTTGGATAATGGCTAACTCATACATTGCCCGTTGAACGCAAGACATAGGCCAACTATAATTGGCATCAAATATTTAACTTAGAACAGAAACCTCTGTGCAAGCCTGCAGCACTATCTATTCTGGAATGTCGTAAGAATGATCAGTCTATAACAGCACATACCTCTTCTGAAACAACTGAGATTTCCATGGTGTCTAAATCACCAACACGTTCGGATCGTATCATTTCGAGAGTGATGAGTGCTTTCATGGATGAACTGGCGAATATCTCGAGTTGGTTTGTTACCATGAACTTCGTCTCGGGCTTCACGTAACCAACTGCTCGCTGCACCACAAAAGTCCGAAAGACGAAGCTATAAGAGTTCATACGCTCTTGTCACCAAACGATACTTAGGAGAGGCAAGAGAAAATCAATTAAGACCTGCAACTGTAGAGCATCTGCTTGGGTTGCGAGACTTCGTTGATATTCGTCCCTGCCGAAAGAAGAAGGACAACCTTACAAGGAAGTGTTGAGAAGATGGCAACTGTCCAAAAATGCCTGAAAACTGTGTGGAGAAGAACATAATTTAGAGACCAAATACTCATAGAAGGGCACCTGTACAGAACCTGCAGCTTCAGTGGTCTTCTTGACCGTCGATTCCACTGGTGATTCCTCAACCATTTTGATTGCGGTTATCATTGGTTGTTTGTGCTTCGGGCATGTTGTTTGGATTATCGCCGTGGCGTAATTGCAAGCCACTCCACAATTGTAGAATCCGGAGTCTGGATGAACCATCTCCTCACTTTTTGTCGGAGTGCTCTTCGTTTTTAATAGTTTCCCAGCCCCAAATGGAAATGTCGGCTGAGCCTGCAGCAGTGTTCTCTTGTCTACGGCCATCTTATCATTCTTCATTTTCACCACGCTTTCAAATACATTGCTGATTGCGCTCAATGCAAAATGTGGATCGGACTTCATGGGAGCTAGGTTGTTCGAGACGCTAGCAGGAACAATCGGTGGAGATTTTATTTCGTCTGGCTTGTGAATCATGGAGGCCTCTGCCAGCACCCTCACCAGGCAACTAATAGGCAGGGTAAGGAACCCCATGAGCATATCTACAAATTCCTTACCGACCTCTAGACACACAACTTGTTTGCTCGCTCTAGAGTACAGAAGAGTGATAGGAATGGTATCGTCCTTGTTCTTGGGGGGCATACCACAGGTAACACACATATCCGCCATGGCTAGAATGAGGCTTACCACTGCCTAGTCCATGAATCAAGGCTCTCTCGCCGCACTCTGGAAATCTCAAAAAGAACCTTCATACACTACACATCTATATTTTCCTACATGTGATCACCTCTCAGACTTGGGGATAGCGTAAACATGGTTGAGGCTCAATTTCTCCAAGGCCAAATCTGTTCGCTCTTCTCTTGAACAATTCACTGTACAGGGGAAATTCTCCGCGTTCCAACAGGAATGTTATGCATAACTCAACCAAGGCACCAGCGCACTAACCTCATCTCCATACTCACCCTCACCACATTCCACAGAAACGCCCACGACTGACACCAACACAACACCAAAGTATGAAAGCGCCTGGCTATCATTCTCACTCATGATCACAGAACAAATCGCAAGTAACTCACGGCCCTCTGTTGATTAAACCGACGCTAAAGACTGCACTAAAAATTCACAGCGAACTTTCTTTATAAACACAAGCCAGCACAAGCTCCTCATCACGATTAGCTACAATCCTGCCACACGACATTCTGATCGCGCGCCTGTCTCCACGAAAGTGCCGAAATCAGGCAGTTTCGAAAAACTCTACGAGGGAGCATCCCTTCGTGTGCGAATGTGTGCATCGATACGATGCGATGCAGAAGAGTGCGGCGAAGAGGATGCTTGGGAAACAGCGATCTCCGAGAATGGACTCTACTCACGGAACAAGTGCTGCCTGGCCGATGATGGCCGATGAGGCGTTTCGGAACCGTTTTCCATCCACTGGATGTCGTCGGTCATCCAAAACCAATGAAAATCAGCCACATTCATCATGAGTAGGTCAATTTAGTAAAAAACCTGGGTTTATTTAACATTCCCGTATATATATATATATATATATAACCATATAACGATGTTTTTCATTTCGTAAGAATTGCTTTGCATAAATCAATTTCCATTTCAATACTGTAAATGATGTTGTGTGAATAGCATCAACTTCTAGGATGAAAAATCATAACTGTATTTGAATCTGTGTTTTCTTTTCTATTCATGAGTTGCATTTGTGTTAGTTTTACACATGCACCTAATAATGGTTGGTGTTTCTCAAAACAGGTAATATGTTGTACTGTTTTATTCAATCACAAGATATTTACATTATTTTTGGATATAAAAAGGGCTTCAATTATTACAAGATAATATTTAAAAAATAAAAGAACAATAGTATTAAATTACTTGAATTTTCTTACAAGAAACAGTAAAAAAAATTAGAATGTGCTTCTAAGTGGAATGACTATTTTTTCAGAATGAAACTTTTAATTAGAAGTGTGTATATATATATATATATATATATATATATATATATATCAAATAAATAAAATACCAAAAATATATATACTTTATCAAGTATAATAATTGACATAAGAAAGTACAATGAACTTATATGCTTACTTTATTTCTTTTCTCCATGTATGCACTTAAGAAATCTATAGCTTTATATATAATCGTAACAAAAATTTGATAACATATTTTTAAAAATAATCAGTGATGGTTGATTGGGAACAAAAAAATTAAAAAAAAGAAAAAGAAAAAGAAAAAAAAGTGTGATACAATTTTACCAAAGGTATTTCACCTTACCAATATCAAAGTACAAAAGAAATATAATAATTTAATTTCAATAAATAAATAACTCACCAAAAGAGTTGGCATTGAAAACCCCAAAAATAAGTTGCATACTTCACAGTTTATTTTCATTGACCACAAGCTTACAAATATATTGAATAGAATAATTTAATCATTTAAAATCTTAACTTATATTATATTTATGTAACAAAAATGATTCAAATTTTTGTGCTATTTAGTCATCTTTTATATGAGATGTACTATGTGTGTTTATATATATATATATATATATATTGGCTCAAGCTTCAAGCACACTCCAAATTACTATATGCACATCTACTATATCTGCACACACATCCAAGGCTTTTGATTAGCTCATCTATACCCTCTCTCCTTTGTCTCAATGGAGGTCCCAAACCTCCTCTTCCTCTTCTTTGTCTTAATGGCAAGACCACGAAGAGTGAAAGGAGGTCTTGGATCTGCACAAAGACAAGAAGAAAGGAAGGAGTTTTGGGACCTTGTTGGGACAAAGAAGATGGGGTCTAGAACATCCAATCAAGGGTCTTGGGTGTGTGTATAGACATAATGAGTTTATATATAGCAATTTGGAGCGTGCTTGTAGCTTAAGCCATATATATATACATATTGTTATAGTATACAATAGTTGTATTTTTACAATTAGAAATTTATGTTTATATATATATATATATATGAAATTAAAGTCAAAATGCAATGCTTCTAAAATTAATTCATTCTCAAAAAAATTAATAAGAACTTGAACTTCATTCTAAGAAGTTAAAAGTGCATTTGGAAGTTTCTTGAAGTTGATGCATGGGCTTAATATAATACATATGATCTATTATTCAGAGCATGCAAAATTTACTATAATTTTTCAAATTATATTATTATTAATACATTCACTTTAAAATAAAATGTCTTTTATGATTGATAAATTTTAGTGATGAAAATGTAAATGTGAAGCAATAAAAAAATTAAAAATTAAAATGGTATTAAATGCATGTAAAAATGAATTTATTTACAATGAACTTTATATATATATATATATATATGTATATATTCTCACATACATAGATACATGCCAATAATTAAAGAGTTTTTATCACGATATAAAATTTAAAGACAAAATTTAAAGAAAATTAGATACAAAATTTAAAGAAAACAAATTATTTGATTTTCTTAATAAATATCTTCCCACTTCAATATGTATTCATGTTTTTATATGTATCTTGCTTTTGTGCAATTGTAAAAAACACTGCTGTTATAAGGTAAGCATACAGTCATGTTCTTATATTTAATTTTAATGTTATGTATTAGACTCTGATCATACATCTAAAAACATAAAACAAACTATGGCTTTGTAAGGACCTTATTCAAGATGCAGCTTCATTGAAATTTATGAAACACACTTTTAACCAAATAATTCTAATTCCAATTACTTGGACATTGTAATATCCTTCATTATTAAATGTGTTCAAGCAACCATCTTCCCAAGGTCTAAACATTAGAAATGAATATGACGGAGTGAGAAACCAAAATCCACGTCAAGGTCTAGAATGGTGAGTAGTGAGTAGTGAGTTGGGCTAGCTGATTGAGTGCTTACGCTGCACACAATGACCTCCTATCCAGACTATTCAGAGAGTAGAATACATTTGGCCAAGCCTCGCTCAACCTAAAACCCTAAACCCTAATTCAGGCCTAAGCTAAACCCCGACGTTGCAGAGCTCCTGGAGCTGCTGGGAGGGTCTGAATGTTGCCGGCAGTCTCGAGAACTGTCTGCTTGTGCATTGCATAGATTCCAGGCGAAGGATAGAGATGAAGAGAAAGCATGGCTCTTCTGGTGGCGAAGGTAGAGGAGGTGGTGGTAGGCGAGGAGGAGGAAGAGGTGGTAGGCGAGGAGGAGGAGGTGGTGGAGGAGGAGGCCGGGGAGGACGCAGGGGAGGAAGCGGAGGGGGAAGAGGTGGAAGACGAGGCGGAGGTCGGGGTGGTGGAGGAGGGGATCGTAGCAAGAGAGGCCGAAATCACATAGATTACGAACCTCAACCAGGTATTCGCAGGTTTTTATTTTGATTTAAAATTTTTAGTGCCTTCTATACTGCTACTTCAAACGATTACTGCAAGTGCTTGGTTGTTTTTTTGTGTGTTTAGCGACTTGAATTGGAGGAATAGTTTCTGAAATATACTTTCGTACCGAGGTCCGTGTTACAAGATGAAGTCGTAATTCAATGTACTTAGCTTTGTTATCAGTGAATTGGCCTGTCTTGCTAGGAAACTGGTGCTTGTTAGAGAACCGGAGCTTGCTATTGGTCAGTATTTGTCCAATACTAGCAATAATTCCATGGCTAATCACGGTTCACATTTTTCTTGAGAGATGCTTTCTAGTAGTGGATTCTGCCTAAGGATGTTAATTTAGGGGCTGTACCTGTAACAACGTAGATTTAGTTATGAGGATTTTTCGCTGTAGTTGTCAAGCGACATGCTCCATTTTAGCGTGTTTCAGGAATTGCGGTTGGCATCCAGTAATTTCAAGTGTAAGTATGTGGATGCTTTGCATGCCGGTGTAATTTCAGAGTTATACGTATCCCAGAATATTGAGACCTGCCTGTTTGATTTATTTATTCTGACGTTCTCTAGCAGTGAGGCAATGGGTTTAGGCTTATGAATTGATGCCTATGGGTGTAGCAGTAGGTTTAGGGTTGAGAATTGGAGAGTACTTGTCGTACGCTTCTGATAGTCGGTAACTTTAATGATGTTGTGACGCATTATTGGGCAGAAGTGAAGCCGGCTCAGGCTACTGAGAACAATGTTGCTAGTGAAGAGGAAGAGGATGAGGATGGGGAGAACGGGGAACCTACCAGTGCCTACACAACTCTACTTCAAACTTTACAAGCCACTAATGAGTCTTTCGCCAAAGCCTACGCTCCACGGTATACAAACTTCTCGTTTGAATAGATTATTATAGAGACGGACCTGCGGTGTGAATCTGATCGTACATAGTTACATTTTCCAGTGGCATTTGTTATCTCTAGATTTTTTTTAGGTCGAAGTGCTTTTAAAACAATGTCTTGGCTAAACTAGCTTTGTAATGCCCTACTCTGATCAAGCTGTTCTGTAGAGTATATAATTGAGATTAATTGTATTGATTCATAGCGAAGGTCTTTGGCATCTTTGATTCTGCTTGCAGGATTCTATTCATTCCAGAGTCCTTTCTAATTACCTAGGAGTGGTTCAACGCCTGTGTTGCAGACGAAAGGAAGAGCAAGGCGCTAGTGAAAGCAGTGAAGATGACGAAGATTACGAGGAGCTTGGCAGTGAACTAGAGGGTGAGGATGGATCTGAATTGGGGGATGAGCTTGATGGAGGTACGTTTTTGGTTCGATCCCTAAATAATTTTTATAGGCATCGAAAGTAGATGTTTACATAGGGTTTTTGTCTACAGGGGAATGCTTCTTTTGCATTCTGCTTTATTTTAGATCTTGAATTTTCAAGTTTGAGAGTAATAATATCCTCACAATCGGTGCCTTTTCTTAAAATATTGGGATCGTGACTCGTTAAGACCACTACGTTAGGTAACAATTAGCTGTTTTGTGATATTTTCCGGGGTGATTTCTTTGTTTTCATCGATAGTTATGATGGTTTGTTTTACTTGTATTGCCTAGCCTACTGCAAAGCAATGCAGGAGAGAAACCATCGCTTATGTTTGTTGTTTTGCAAGTTCTAAAAATTTTTCGAGTTCTTTTTGGTCCCTGAAACTTTGGTATGATCCTTGAAATTAGTAATTCTCTTTTCTTAGAGCTGATGGTTCTGGGAGTTGTACATTATCACCAGGGATTCCTGAGGAAGATGGCCAAGAGTCTGTCGGAGTGGAAGATGACGATGAGGAGAATGGAGATGCAGAAGCAGATTCCTCTTCAGAGAGCGAATGGGAAGAGGTGGCTGATGGTGAAGAAGTTGAGATGGGAGAGGCAGAAGAAGAGGATGGTGATCAAGATTCAGATTCAGAAAGACTGTCTAGTGGGGCAGGTGCAGGCACAAGTGAAGAGTACGACAATATCTAACACTTGTTTCAAATTTTATTTTGTTTGTGGATGTAATCGGACTGAATATCAATATTACGAAACATCTCGATAGTATAAAGCTGCAAAATGTTAATTATTCGTTGGACATAGATTTCACACGGTTAACAAGAACTTTTTGGAACGGTGTAGTGAGCCTTGGATTGCGTGTATTACACAGAACACGTGTTGATAAATGAGTTCAACTGTCGCTTTATCTGAAGATGTCCTTTGTGTTGATCCAGTCCTTTCAAAAAGCATATGGAACTGGATATTGCTGATACGAAGATTGCCGAATTGGTGGATGGGAAGGTTAAATTTAAGACTGAGATGAAAGTAGCAGGCCTTCCGAAGGGAACATGGTTGACCAATACGTCCACTTTTCCAAAGGTGATTTTTTATTCTTTGTCGCTGAGGTGTTCTGAATGTGCGTTCAAGCACCTTGTTACCTGCTCACGGCTTTTAGCTTCCAGCTAACATAGATAATTCTGCAGGTAGAAAAGGAATTGAAAAACTGTGCATTAAAAGAGCGGCTTCTTAAACATTGGCAAGGGCAAATCAAGCATAAACAGTTTGGTGACTTTCGTACAGAAGGACAAGCTCAGTTCTTTTCTTTCTGTGAGTCACACCTTTTGGCATTATAAGCTCTGTTCACGTTATATTTATAAAATTTGTTCTCCTAGCTTGGTCGTTTGTCCCAACAACTAATTCATCATTAGCAGGCTAACATATGACAGTCTTGCAGGCAACAATTATGAAGACATTATGCTCACATTGAGATGTGGAATTCAGGGTACCGTGGCCTCCAACGAGGAGCACGAAACCTACGTTGATGCATATGTGCTGCATGTTGTAAGTACTATATGAATCTGAACACAGCTTTTTTAGTCAATGTCATTAAGTTGTTATTAAACCTGTTGTGGGAGAAATGTGCACAATTGTAAATTTGAGGAACTCATGAAGTGGAGAAATTTGCATCCTTGTTATTTTGATTCTTTACCGATAGCGTTATTACTGGAATTGAATTTAAGCTTCTGTTGATTTACAGCTGAATCACGTCCTAAAGACAAGGGACCTTGTTACTAAAAACAACGAAAAGTTACAGCGTCAACAAACGGCTTTAAACGAGAATGGAAAAAGGGGCGCTGATTTCATAGACCCTCCTCGTGATCAGGGCTTTACTCGTCCAAAGGTGAGGTTCATGTTATCTCTGCTTGTCGAAATTGCAGTGGGACTAGTGATAAGTTTCAGTTGCTTGGTTCACTATTTGTCCATTTTTTATGACTTAACTCACTGCTCAAAAGTCATACGAATTATTTGAAGGATCTTATGGCTTGAACTTAATTGAAGAGTATACCTAATAATCTCTGAGTTTTCTTGCAGTTAGGAATCGTTTGTTCCAGGGACATACCTCAAAAAATTGTTAATAGCTGACTCGGGCGTCAATCTTGCAGGTGCTGATGTTGTTGCCAATGCGAAGCACTGCATTGAAACTTGTGAAGAAGTTGATTGAATTGGCTCCTAAGGCTCAAACGGTAAGTAACATTCTCGAGGTTCCCTGTACTTTCTTTTTCTTGGTTATTTATGTTCTAATGCAACGATTTCAGATGTGGCATATGTCTGCGTTAAACCTGGCCTGAAGATGTGGTGCGCGTACTGGTAGGTTGATATCGAACATAAAGCTCGGTTCTTTGATGACTTCGGAGCAGAGGACGATGAAGAAGATCAAGTGTTGATAGAAGAAGGACAAGAAGGTAGTAATGAATATACGGGTGGGAAACCAGCGGATTTTAAGGCCCTTTTCAGCGGCAACAATGATGACCACTTCCGTATCGGTATCAAATTTACAAGGTGGGTGTACAGCTCTCAACCGTAGTCCTGCCGTTACACTATTTGTTACTAATAACTTGCTTCTGCTTACATTTTTTTGTGTAGTTTTCAAGTGTAAAAGAGATACCTGTAGCGCTTATCTGTCTTCGTCTTGGAGTTCATGTTAAGAGTTGTATGAATAGGTTGCTTTTATTCTGCTTTCCATGATTCTGTGTTGCCCTTGGGATGACGTTCTGGTGCTAGGAGCGAGAAGCATCCATGGGTGATGAAGAGCTAACTTTTGGACTCGTACCTGTGGCTTCAGAAAGAGCATCAAGCTTTACAGTGATTTCTATTCATCTGACATCATTGTCGCCTCACCCCTTGGTCTTATCACAGTATGTTTACGGACTCTTTCCACGTACACTATCTTGATTCCATCTACTTGTAATTTCATCTTAATCGTCATTAGCATTTAGCACTGTTCATGACGAGGTCTTGCGAGGTGTTCTCTTTATTTAAGCTTCTACGTTGAAGCTGACTATTCTTGCTTCTGCACCCTACTTCCAATCGGGCGCACCCTGGAATGCAAATACAAGCTCAAGGATAAGTTTGTATTCTTGTTCACTGTCTTCTGTAGTGCGCGTCAGCCTCCTTAGTATTTAACATGTATGTAGTATCTGATATGCAATGCATTGTTTCAACAGCAAATCGGCGAAGCAGAAAGTTCCAAGAAAGACAATAGTAAGGATGTTGATTTCCTTTCTTCAATTGAGGTGCGTGATTATCGTTAAAAAGTTCCCTTTAATTTCATATTACGTTGATTTACTTTTTTTTACGTCATCAGTAGATGTTAAACAGAATATTAAATGTTTTTAGGAGTTGGTCTTGAACTGATAAGTATGGAACTCCTTCGTCTGTCTAGAGATTCAGAATCAGAAGGACTCAATAGAAACTTATGTACATCTAGTATGAGTTTATTTTAGTATGTTACAATCAGTATGAAGTGTAACGCACACTTGGTTTTGCAGATTGTTGTGATGGATTACACGGATGTTATTCTGATGCAGGTATATTTTTGTACTTTTTTCCCATATCATATGTTTTTATTTTATTAAGTTGAGGCAGCACTGTAAATGTTGGCTAAAAGCACTAAAGCGAGATTCCTCCAAGAATCACTAGATTCAATCCTTGAGAGGACAAATCAGAATTGAATATGTGTACTGTCCATTCTGGTGTTTCACCCAAGAGAGGAAATTCGATGTCCTGCTGTGAGTAGGTTCTGACTATATATGTGCTTGAGAGATTTGCAGAACTGGATGCATGTCTTGACTTTGTTTGATCATCTGAATCGGATACCCCAATCGCAGCACGGTACCGATTTCATGCGCATCAGAGAATGGTGAGATCTATTTATTGTAGTTTGTGCTTCATTTTTTCTTTTGAATCTGTGGAATTTTAAGCAATGAATTAAGATGAACCAATCATTTTATATCTTACATGTGGTGTTTGTAGGTGCTTGAATGGACATTCTCGACATTATCGACAGACCATGATTCTATCAGCATTCCCTGATGCAAGTAAGACTTGAATTGATGGAGGCTATTATGCAATAGCTCTGATTTTAGAATATATTTCCTTCTGGGATCTTTAGGTTGTATTGTAACATTGAGTGCATAGTTTAACATTGATGCTATAATATTTCGAAGTTAGTCACTTTCTAAAGACCTTAATTTGCAATTGCGGTCTTATTTAGCTTTTCAGATGAGAAAATCTGAATTGTGTGAGGAGCTAAGCTGTAACATTACATAAGCGCAATTTTTGTTGGTTTTTCCTCAGAGATCAATGCGCTATTCCATCGTAGTTGTGTTAATCATGCTGGAAAGGTACGATGAAAGTTTGACTTGACTTCCGTTTAGGTGCAATATAGTATAATCTTACTGTAATTTTAAGTTTCACGTGTAGTAAGGACTCTTTGAAATTTAGTGAGAGGCTGCATCAATCATTTGTTTTTCATGTGCAAGCTAATAGTTCTAAATTATATAGTATATATGTTTGCAACATATTGTACAGGTTAAGTTGCGTATGGAGTACCCAGGAATACTTTCAAAAGTAATGTTGAAAATTCGCCAGGTGATGTCATCTATTTCTTTCAACCCCTTACTCTTCGTGTATTCCATTGATCTCCATCGATATGATGACCTTCGGAAAGGATTTTCAATGATCACATTAAACTTCTTATCATCGCTCCAGTCTTGTTAGCTTCTATTCTGAATGATTCTGATAACAGGTCTACGAAAGGATTGATTGCAAGGCCATTTCAGAAGTCGATGATGCTCGTTTTGAATATTTCACCAAGCAGGTGCTGTTCACTCCTATCTGCTATTATCTTCTATTATCTTCTTTTTCTTCGTTAGATGTGGATGTAACTCACTGTCTGATTCTGAGTCAATTCTATTTTGTCTTTTTTGTTCCAACAGGTGTTTCCAAGAATCAAAGGTTCTCATCAGGTATGTTGATCTCATAACTTTCTTCTTCCATTGCAATTTTTCTTCTCTTTCTAGAATGGGTAAGCTGTGTCAATCTAGGTACAAAAGTGTTTGGAGTCACGTGAAATAGCCAGTAAGAAGTGTTTAATTTCACTTAGAAAGCTTGCTCGGATGTGGTTCTTTGAATCATGGTAGGCCTCTTTCATGTGGAGATGGGATTCTTCTCCCAACGAAGACACATTTCTGTGTATAAAGCTGTTTCAATCTGTGGCATTTTATATTTTTCACAAGGCATAATTTGCCCATCTTGCTTTTCAAAGCAGTGGATGCATTAACTTTGGGTTAAAGTAGAGTTTGTCTGATTTCTTACCATGAATTTCACAGGGTGGAATACTACTGTTTGCTAGTTCCTTCGATTTCGTGCGGCTTCGAAACTTCTTAAAGTCTCAAGAATGCTCATTCTGCTTGCTGAACGAGTAAAGTTCTCCGCCTGGCTTGCTTTGTGACACTTGCCATTGATCGAAAGTAGTGACAATTGATATCGCACATATTTGTGTGCTGCATGTTTGGGAAAATAGAGATTGTTATTTAAAGGCAAGCATAAACTCTTCAGTGCCTGATTAAAATTTTCTTTGTTGTAGGTACACAAAGCAAAGTGATATTTCTCGAAGCCGTTCATGGTTTTTTCATCGGAAGAGGGATATTATGCTTTATACGGAGCGTGCTCATTTCTATCATCGTTACAAGGTATTTTCTCGTCCCTCAGTACCACTTCCTGGTTAATTAGCACTATTTCTTAATATCGAACCATCATCTATGCATGGTATATATTGAAGCGGCTGGTTTGGAACGCCGGTTGCAGATAAGGGGCATTCGAGAGCTTATTTTCTACTCGCTTCCGGATCATGCACAATTTTATTGTGAGGTTAGTGTGCAACCTAATCTCAGTAATTTCGTCATCAGCATGAGTGCTCTTTATTTGTTGTTTTTTGCAACCATTTAAGATGTTTCGAAGTATGTAAGACCTTACACCACCCCTCTTCAGTATTTTGAGCTGATTAACTCGTTACCATTGGCAATTACAGATATCCAACCTTTTGGAGGGATTCTCATCGTGTACCGTATTATTCTCCAAACTTGATAAGATCCAAGTGGGTTTTTTTTACCTTTACTTCCTGTTGTTATGCATGCAAGTCGAGCTTTTTATCTTTTATGTATGTAGTGCGTGGGCTTTTATGAGTATAATATCTGAAATTCTTGTTGGAAATCATTGATTTCTTTGTTACTGGTGTGGTGGATGGCTTGTACTCTAGCAGTTTAATCTGTCGTCGCAGCTTTAAAGCTTCTGACATTTAAATATTTGAATGATTGTGGCAATTGATTTTATTGACGATTTGTTATGAATTGGTTTGTGGTGTATGCAGCTAGAGCGCATTGTAGGCTCTACATACGCTGAGCGGATGCTTAAATCTAAACAGAGTATATTCACTTTCATGTGAATGAAGAACGTTGTGCAGAACAAGTTCATCGAGAATCCAAGTGGCTTTAGAAAGTGAAATGTCCTTTGCAGATGTCACCTTTATAATTTCCCCCTAAATTAGTCATTCTAACATAAATCATTGAGAAACATTCTTCTGAACAATGTTGAAACTCCAGCCATTCTCAGTTCTAGTTTGTGATACTGAGTTGTGGCATACTCAGGTTAGATAGTTATCCAGTTCTTTAATGAAGCGGAAGGATGGCAAAGCTGTGGGTTGTGACAGACAGTGCAGTGATTTAGTCACGAAGTAAATGTAACTCTAACTGCATGTCTAGTAGACTTCACTCTCAATGCTGTTTCTCTTGTGTATTGTCTTCCCATAGCTAGTAGTTTAATTCGTGCGAATGGGTGACAAGCGGAATAGGGAGGGGGATTGTGTGTTGAGTATATTGGGAATGCAAAAAGGTGAGCGTGTATGCGTCACTTGACCACCCCTTGTGTGGATTTCTTAATTTACACCTTTGTTGCCCCTTCGAGATTTCGTCATTGTCGTCAAATCCTCTGTCTCCCGTGAGGTTCATGATCATTGTTTGATTTGTGCAAAGGAATGCCAGATTCTGAGCATCGCATCACGAGTCGTATTCCCTGCGAGTAGAAAACAATCGTTATTCCGACGGACGCCTTGAAGATGAGTAGGACTGGGCACCTCGGAGCGATATCGTTAAGAGGAGGTCTACATCTACAGTCAAATGCACTTGGAAGCTTGTAATGCTGAACACTAAACCATTCATGGAAAACTACCGGAAGTCCATTATAATCGAAGAAAATCTTGATGAGAATTAGTCTGCATAGGTTGTCATATATTACAGATCTGATGAAAATGCGGCACGAAAATATGCCGTTTCACGACTAACTAATTTTCTCGGAGTTGAAAATAAAAGCCAATGCGAATAGGGTCAGACTGACTTCTGTAATTTTTATTTTCCTGCTGACCATAAAATACCTGATTACGCCAGAAACATACCATAAAGTGCTGACATGGTACAGATATCTAGGCGTAGTGAAGGCAAAGGTTTAGCTGCGAGCATAGATCCCAGAAGCAATTCATAACGCCTCGGACTCCAATGCTAAGAGAAGCTACATGATGCTACGATATTATAACACATGTTCATGTACATTGACAGGAGTGAGATGTCGTGTGAAGAGGATTTGGACACAATCAATGTTCCGCAAAGATGAGATGAATTACAGACCTGGAGTAAATTGATGTACATAATATGCTTTCCCATCAAATGTCGAATTGATCAAGATTTACTTCAATAACTAACCAGATTCTTTTCTCGTAAGGGCTCCTTCTTGCGTAGAGTCTTCACCTCTACCATGTCGCAGTTCATCAGTAATCTCAAATGCCATGTCAGCTTCCCCTGTCGGCTGACTTGCAGTGTGGCACTACCTTTCTCAAGGGAATAATTTCCTCACACTCAAGATGAGGTTCCGTCGATCCCAATTTCATTTTTATGTCGTCTTAACCGGATTGTTTAGGGACATCTTTATTGGTGTCTGAGATGGGGGTAATTGCACTTTCATTGCCAAGGTTTCAACAAAATTATTACTGTCAGTTTCCCGCCTTGTTGAATTGCCACTAGGAACTAAATTCAGTTCTGACATCTGATGGCCTCCTATCTCAAACAATTTGCGCGCCTATCCCTGAGAAAATTGCAGAAAATTTTGAGAGTATCTACAAAAGTCAGTTCTCATTAAGGGTAGGGCGACGTTCCCTCTACAGATACCTAACAGGAAATCTTCGAATGAAGATCCATGTTATTACAGTCAATTCCAAAACCAAACTGATGCAGCATCAAGAGTTAAGATCGTGACAGTGAGGCTAGGATTTTGAAGTCAGCCAGTCATGTAGCAAATGCTAGTCACTATTATCCATGGCAACTTCTGGCAGTTACGTCCGAGAAGGGACACGCATTCCAGAGGTTTGGGTTTCTGCAACCAAATAACAAGCGAAGTTAATGAGACAAGTAATAAGTGAAAAACCTCAAGAAAGCATAATAACCTGCAGATGGTGCATTAATCTTTACCAAGACGGTGAAATGTCTTATGTTGATCTCGAGTCCATCGTCGATCCCTAAAACACATCTGATTCAAGACAGAGCAGCACTTGGTCTATAATGACAATGATACTGGATGTCTACATGATTTATTTTCTCCGATCTTTGCCACCGCCCCAAAAAATTTGCCCTTCTCTACCGAAATATTTGCCCTTCTCTACGTTTAAATGATCCGACCATTGGCATTTTGGATATGCACTGCCAGGATATGCACATTCTTCGTCTAAAATTGGCAATCTCTGAAGTGCAGCTCTAATGTTCAAAGTATGACTGACCTCCTGCTTGTCCCATTTTAGTTGGCGTTTAGATGTCCTCTCGACTTCAGAACAAGTTCAGAAACTGAATTTTCAAAAATCCACACCCAATTCAAAACATGGTTAGAAAAAACATTATAAAAGTCTGTAAATTTCAAAAACAACAAGCTTATCACGACTGAAGTGATCAGAAACTTGCGAGCCCCCCCCCCCCCTAAATCCACCAATTCCATGACACTGTCCTTGGCTGCATCCTCCGGGATGGATCCTTCAGAATCAACTTGCTTGATGATCTTTCTCAGCCATCTTAAGCGCTTGATCCCAAAACCCCACTATCCAGAAACCTTCAGAATCCATAAACCAGTTCCTCACATCACTAGCGTCACCATTGCACAACAAACCGCGGCAACATGCGCCACTGCAACCGATGAACGACAATGCCAATTTCAATCAATATCTCATAGCCGCTTTCTTCATCCCTACTGATCTTCATCTTTTGCTTTGTCCTATTTCTTTCGTAGGATGTCCTTGAATGCTTCATTTTCCTTGAAGGCAGACAAAAGGACATTGATGAAGGGGCAACGGTGGCTAAATTTGAGACCTGCCAGTGCAATCATATTCAGTGTACTCCTCGTAACCTTACATATCTGCTGCACACCAGCAGTCATAGCACTGCAGCCCTTCGATCGTCATGTACTTGGCGATTGTCGTGTACCTGGGCCGCTTGTGATCAATGTTACTGTAGCTTTATCAGCCTCTTGAGTTCGCGCGTGTTGACGTCACGATGGATAACCAGTGACCTCGACGATGAGGGTGCAGGCGAGGCCACACTTTGCGACGTGATTATAATGTGGGTGGGCTGCAATCTGGACCGCACACAGCTTGGTTGTGGGGCTGGTAAGTGCATTGCAATGGATGCTCATGGTGGATAAGTGTGCAAAGGTGATTAAATGTCGGGAATATTACCGACTGTTCCCGGTTGTGATGCAACCAACAAAATTCCAGTACTTGCCTGACTGGTGTTCACTAAATTGCGTACTACCTGAGGCTCAGGACAGATAACCGCAAAATTTCATAAATGAAACGATTAAGGAATGTCAGCATAACTTGAGCTTCCAAAGAATTTATGTGAACATACACAGCGCAATTCAGATTAAGTGGATTGAGAACGAGCAAGTGCGATGCCAATGGTGGAACATAAGTCTCAAATCATGTGGGACATTTGATTACACAATGACGGATGCAGCTTACCTATGACACACTCCTAAGAACGTCTAAAAGAAGATGCCACCAAATCGAATATGCAATCTCTTTCTTAAACTTGATTTAATTTAAGAAATATCTCGTGCGCGCACACTCCGCGACTACGAATTAAGCCGTTTCCATCTGCATTTCCATTCGCAGCCCTAAATTGCAAGAAGAGGCGCGTCAGTAAATGAAAGAACCAAGCCCAGACATTCTCCACTTCTGCTATTATTGAATTAGGATCGCTACCTCCGGGCGCATATTACACACATATGCTTTACATTAACTTGGGAGCGATCGAGTGACAAATACCACATAGTTGTAGGTAGGTGAACCTTGCTGGGACATTTGAAGTAATCTACATGTTCACTTCAAGTTGGTAGAGGTAGTATTTTTCGAACATTAGAGAATATAAATAAGGATGAATACAAATGGAATCGCAAATTTTGGAGCCCTAGAGATCCGACAGCGATTTTTGAAGTTGGAGATCCATAGGATCTTTTATGTGACCTTATAATGAATTTCACAAGTTGCTAGGGTATTGCCCTTAGGTCACACACACGCTCAAGCTCCCTCGATGCTAGAGGTTCTGGAAACTTTGGCAAATTACTCAGTGAACATTTCTAGGGGTCGAAATAAGATAGCTGTACTTCATCTAAAATTCAAAAACAAAAATCACATCTAGATGTAATGAGCAAAACTTTCGAGGCATTTTTAAAGAGTGATTTACCTGTCAAAAACATTGTAACCTCTCTAGCTGAACATTCGAGCGTAGGACTTTTTCTCGTTCTCATTTCGCTCATTGATCTGAAAACGTACAACATTTCCAATCGATACACAACACGAAAAAATGAAAAAAGATTCGCATTTCAGTTCTACCCGATATCCTGATCAATGCAAGAGATAAATCCTCGACACAACCTCACTACTTGGTAAAGTAACCAGCAGCAGACATTTCCAGGACACTCAGACGGGTAATTAAGCACGAAACAAATTATCAATAATAATAAATAAATAAAAAGTGGGGTAATTTGCACTTAAGTAGACTGGAAATAAAGCAAACATACCTTCCTCCTAGCCATTGCAAGTTCTCTCTTAATTCCAGCTGCACAATTATGCACAAGAAATCCTCAGAACAAGTGCTGTGAAAGCTTAAAACAAAAAAAAAAAAAAAAAAAAAAAAAAAAAAAAAAAAAAAAAAAAAAACATGCATCTGAATGGTGGAAATTTCAGAATATCCAAAAGCCGCCACTTTATAAGAGTAAATGACACAGCGGAACACATCCTATATCACGCTTAAAATGTAACAAGTCACTAACTCTTCATGATACATTACTACCTTAGAGAATGGCCAGCAAACTCAAGGCAACGAATGAATATCCCTAGTCCTTTCTACAAAAGCAATTAAAATTATTGAGAAAGTAATTGTTCATGTGCAAGCACCCTTGCACGATGCAGATTCGATAACCGATATTATATTACTCTTCGTATAAATCAAGCCATGGCAAAGTAAGTGATAAATTGTCTTACTGTCATTTGGTTCGATATTAGAGGCTTTCGTTAAGCTCATCAATGCGGAATCTATATCACCAATCGCCAAATAAGCCTGCAATACACGTATGTTTAAGTACTGTTGCACGTGTTACTTAGCCTTAGGATTACATCTATTTGTAACAGGAGACAACCGTCCGAAAGTCGGCACACGGCTTTAGGGATACACATAAACTCTCAATGAAAATTTCCCAAAATGGGGAGACTCTACCTGGCCTTGACGGAAGAGAGCTTTAACATTATCAACTCCAGTTTGCATCGCATATTCACAGTCAGTTAATGCACCTCGAGGATCCTCAAGCTTCAACTTGCAAGCCTGCCATCGCCACCAATCGTAGGTCAAGGTGTCGCAAAAGAATGACCTCAAACTTGCTAGCAAACACATGAATAAGTGATAGTGCTCACTACGCTTAGCTACTAAAGAATTCTCAGACTTTGATAGGTAGATTCTAAACGAAGGAAGTTCGGCAATCAAACTAAGTCAATGTTCTGAGACAAGCACTCGTCAGGAGGATACTCACAGCACTATTAGTCAATATGAGTGATTTTGTTTTGCGAAGCGAATTACTTCTTGCTGTAAGACATAGTACAACACAATTATGTCAGCCATCAAACTGAAGAGAAGTAAACCAGTATGAATCATGCCACAAGCCCGAAAGAGAAATACAATCCGTAACTTTGAAAGTCCAACTTCCAAAAACTCAGAAACTTACTTTCATCGAGCTCCTCTTTCTCCCAACATACATCTAGATACCGTAGAGCCTTACGATACTTTCTTAGTGCAGTCTTATAGTCTCCTTTCTGCAAACACACGCGATAATTACCAAGGGTTCTACAACGTCCACATAAAACAGTCTCCAGAAACAAGAAATGTGATATGAGAATGGAGTAGAGGATACTGGCTATATATTATTTGAAGCAATCAATCTGCTTGGATAATCACCTTAAAAAATTCATTGCCTAAGGCTCGGGCAGAATCCACTGCTGCCTCCCAAAATGCTGCGTCAGCAGGCTGCGTATCCAAGTCTGAAGGCCAATCTGGATACTTATCCCCGTCTTGGGTGAATCCTGAAATACCCATTAGCCATCATTATAATATTTCGTAAAACTTAATTTTCCTGAAGATTATATTTTTTGTTCTAAAAGAATGTTCCTAAATAAATAAACAATACAAAGAAAGGGGGATCATTTCGTATCCAAAGTCACTGGCTAGGGCGGCAAGGAAGATCTCCTTTCAACATCTATCACGTGCTAAGAAGGGAAAGTGCACACTATCAAAACGTAGGGTGACGAAACAAGAACAAGCAGGTAGAATGCGTTCAAGAGTTCCGAATTCATACCCACGACTCCGTCATCAACGCCTTCTGGCAACTCGCCGCAGTCCACGATACGCACGTCAGCAAGGGGCTTGTTGCTAGCAGAGTCAGTTGGTTGGTGCTCAATGGAGCGCACGACTCCCATGCCCTTCAATACCTTACCGAACACCACATGCTTTCCGTCGAGGTGTGGAGCTCGGGTAGTGGTAATGAAAAACTGGGATCCATTAGTGTTAGGTCCAGCATTCGCCATAGATAGCATACCCTTCCGTTCATGTTTCATTAGAAACACTTCGTCCTCAAAATTCTTTCCATAAATGGACTCGCCACCAGTTCCATTTGCATTCTCAAAGTCACCGCCTTGAATCATGAAGGATTTGATCACTCTATGAAATATGGTGCCCTGTTGAAAGGAGATCATCCACCATGTAACGGAGGATACAAAGCTGGTCAGTCAACAGGAATGAGCAGCGAGGCGGTGCATCCGCATTGGACTACACGCATTCAGAGCCTGCATACAATGGAAGACTTTAACCATCCACGACCTCACGTACTAATCAGAAAATGTCTCACGTCAAGCAAAACAAATCTTATTACCAACGCACACAAGCCTGATTCATCAACAATAAGACTAGCGCTTCCGCATTCCCAAGACAGAAAAAACCTCCCAAACAATTTGGAAACTCTTCGCACGAGCAGATGCACACTCAGGCTACATTCCTCGCTATGCTAGCTCTAAGACATGTTAAGAGTAAATCGGACTAAACAGGATTCACCACACGTAACTCGAAACGGCGCTACAGTCTTGTGCGTTGCCAAATAGGAAGAACTAAAAGACTGCCGACACAATGGCCATATATAGCATGAGCGAGAGAGAGCGCGAGCGAGAGGATGGAGAAAGAATAACGTAGCTCGGTGGCTGCCATACTTTATAATGCATAGGACGCCCCGTGACAGGTCCAATCCCTTTCTCGCCTGTACAGAGAGCGCGAAAATTCTCCGCGGTCCTGGGCACAACGTCTGCGAAAAGCTCCATTACGATCCGACCTTCCAACTCGTCACCAATACTGATGTCAAAGAACACTTTCGGATTCTTGGAACCCATCCCTGCCACTTCACTCATGCTTGAAAACAAGATCGCCGCACAGCACAACCACACTCCACCTCAACTCCAAACAACCCCTTCGCAACTGTGCTCCTTCGGCCACACCACGCTCCAAACTGTTCCTGCTTCTTTCTCCCTCAAAGGCTCCCAAACACTAATTCAAATGTAAGGATCAAACTCAAACCCCGAATAAACCCCTTCAACCTCAAACCTCCCCTAAAACCCAGCTCTAGGGTTCCAGAACCCTTCAAACTCCACGCGCCTCTCAGATCCTCACAACCATAAACGCCCTCGCCCTCTCTTTCGCTCTCGCTCCTTAAAATCAGCTCACGGTTCAACACACTTCTCCAGCCTCAGGTTCTAGAACTCCGAGAGATCTTCCACCAACTCACAGACACAATGCTTCAAGTAGCCACCGACAAAAGCATGTGATGTAAAATGGAGCAATGAATCTGAATCGATTCTTTCTGTTACTCCCTGCCTCCAAAGACTTCTCACAACAATATAACCGCCACCAGGCGCCACCCAAACGCAGCCGCAACACGATAACGGAATGCAATGCAGGACAAATCCTGGCAGCAGTGAGCTCGATTGAACTTCAGAAGCCAGCAGATAATGCAACAAATACCGGATTTCAAACCCAGCAAAAACGGATAAAAAAAAGTTAAAAAACGTAAAGCGAAAAGAAAGAAAACAAATAAAAGAAAAGGGGGGGGGGAGAACAGTTTCTGCCACACAATATGCCAGAGAGGGGCACGCCGCTCAGCATCCGCGGTGCAAATTCCACACGGAAATCTGCCTCATGCAGAATCGGCTTGGAAAGGTTCCAGCGGAGAGGACATTCTGTTCCGGAATTGTCGATCCGTGGGACGATTTGGCAGGGCGACAGGTGGCGAAGTGGGCAGTCGATCTGTAAAAGCGGCTACCCGGGCCGGCTCAAACACCCCAGTTGACCCTCGAATCACCCGTTTCGTTCCCCTCATTGGGAACGTACGATGGGGCTCGTATGTGAGCACCAAGGTCAGAGATTGAAATACTAAGACGACGACGACGAAGTCGAATACGAGTACGAGTACCGTTCGTCTCCTTCATGAAGTGGGGAAGAGAATGAGACCTGTGTGTGTGTGTGTGTGTCTGGAGCATTTTCACTCCCCCTCTACGCACCTGCGAATTCTCGTAGTATCCATGTACCTGGTCTTTTGGGCCTGTAGCCAGGTCCTGGTGACAGAACCCTGACCTCCTCTATGGTTCGTCTCCTGGTGATACATGTAACAAACTGAGTCTCTTTGCCCAGAGCGGTGGATTCATGACTGTGTTGGATAGCACCTCGGTATGCGTGCAAGTCATTGAAAGTTGTAAATTTTGATTTGTTTTTTGCTTAACTGCTTCGACTGATGCTGCTGCTGCTGCTGCTTCAGATGCTAATAGTCGGTTTTGTGACGGTTCCATGACAAATGCTATCACTACCTTTGGATGTTCCTGATCTATGTCGTTGTTTAAGTTTGTGATAATGGAAGTAATACTTGTAAGTTTTAAATGTTGAGGAAATGTAGAATTCAAATTACTAGAATGAAACTTCCTACTTTCGATTGGAAGGTTTTTGTATTTGTTGATGTTGTTCTTAATTGTAAAATTATGGTGATTTCAAGGTGTTGAATTGCACTAAAATAGTATTTAGTTAGTTCACATGAGTCATTGTAAAAAAGAGGAATATGTTTGATAATAACGTAATCCTGATGAATCCATTAAGTTAATTGTACATAAACCTGTTTAGATAGGCTCACGTATTTTAAGGAAGAACTTTGGTTACTAACCAGAAATAAAGAATAATGGGTAAAATGTTTTAGCTTTGATAAATACACATATAAAATTTTGATTTGTAATTGTATTGCTGCATTTGAGTTTCAAGGATACAAGGATTGAATATATTGTTGTTCAAAAACCTCTACTGAATAACTATTGGATTTGTAATTAATTAGCCAATTGAGAACTACAAACATCTTTGACACAATTGTGTAAGGACAATTTCATGTTTCATTTTAACATACTTTAGAAAAAAAAATCCTTTCAAAAGAATTTATATACATGAACCATGTTATTAATTTTTAATTCTTACAACAGAATATATTGAAGTCACAATGTTTTAAATGATAACCAAAAAATTCAATCTGGAAAATAAAATGAAATAAAATAATTATATTTAAAATATATTTTTTAATAAAAAGAATTTAAATTGAAATTTGAAATTCCTATCCAAAATTATTTATATTCTATCACTTCAACACCTTCTCAAAAATTTATAATCTCAATTATTATCATTTAATAAAATAATTATTTATTTATATTTTGAAATATATGTATATATATATTTATAATTTTTAGTATTCATCGAAATTTACAAAGTTAATTAATTATATTTAAATATTTAAAATAAAATATGAACTAAATATAATGTTTAAAAAAATTAATACTATAGTTATTAGTGATAATATTTTTAAAGTAGATTTAATTTAAATATAATTCCTATCAACAAAAAAAAAATTATAAGTTTTTTTTGTACATCTGTTATCATTATCTCAAATTTTAATTTTATTACTACATTATGTAATAAAAAAAATTATGATCTAAAAAAATTAATTTTTAAAATATTTTTTTATTTCTTCTTCTTATAGAAATTCTTATTAAGTCGACTTGTGAAAAATATTTAGTAATGCAAGAATTTCATTGATTAATTGATTAACTAATTTTTTCATATTCTATTAATTCTTTTTATATTATGGTTCTTATATAGAAGTCACTCTATGTTTTTTGTTCAAAAACAAAGTAGTTTCTTTAAATTCACATGTTCTACAAATATAAAATTTTAAGTAAAGACCAAATCTTTTGAAAACATTTAAAATAAGAAAGATATTTTTTTTTATAAAGATTATTTATTTTCAAGAATGGGCTTTGTAAGGATTTGAAATAATTTTGTAAAAGAAAGAAGTTACACTTCTAAAATCTTTAGATTAAGTGTCCATTCAAAATATTTTAGTATTTTTTTTTTTTTTTAGTATTAGGATAAACCAATATCTTTTTCTATATTTCTGTGTTGGTATAGAAGTTGAATACAACTAAAAGCAAAGAGTCTCTTTACAAGGTGTATAAACTAATTTAATTAATTAATTAATTTTTTTTATTATTATAATAGTCTTACCTTATTAGAATAAAGCTTTCCAAGTCTTGTGAAAATGGTAGTAGATTTCATCTCATATATAATTGATGGTTGAATTCATCATGTTATATTTTTGTAGTAGTTCTTAATAAGATAAAGATTGTGTAGAAATTATTAATAAGTGCTTAACATATTAGAGTCCATTTAAAAAAAAAAATACCACTTTGTAGACTTAATACTTCTATTAATAAGACAAAATTTCTTAATATACTACAAAAACCTATTCCAAACTTCATAGAGGAACATAAGAGGCTTGTATCTAAGGTGTTACGGACATAGAATACAGACTTGATATCTACCAAGAAGTTCAAGAAGAACTGACAAGAACTAGATTAATCAGATGAATACAAGAACAACACCAGAGAGGTGAGCTAGAGCTCCAAGAGATGTGTTGTCGAGACTGAAGAACTCTTCAACCTCGATTCCAATATATACTCCTATTTAAGAAGCTTCTCAAGCAACTTCTACCAACTAGGAAGCTTCTAGAAGGTTCCAGAGACTTGCTTCTAGAAGGTTCTAGAAACTTATCTCTAGAAGGTTCTAAGGACTATGTTCCTAACATCTTCTACCAACTAAGAAGCTTCTAGAAGGTTCCAGAGACTTGCTTCTAAAAGGTTCTAGAAGCTTGTCTCTAGAAGGTTTTAGAAACTTGTTTCTAGAAGGTTCTAGAAACTTGTCTCTAGAAGGTTCTAGAAACTTGTCTCTAGAAGGTTCTAAGGACTATGTCCCTAACATCACCCCCTCCTTTAGCTTCGAGGTCTCTGAGAAGCAATGTTGTTGTCAATCAGTACCAACGCAAGAAAATGAAGATCTGTCGCATAACGTCTGCTATGAACTCCAATTGTTGTTCGTGAGGTAAGTGGTTCATCGGCCCTTGAAGCCAACAATAGTGGCCCACTCCTTCAACTTCTGACCAAGCATGAACTTCCTTGTCTTCATTGTGAAATTGTCCTACAAATATGCCTTCTGGTTGACCATCATAAGCAGGCTCGGACTCAAATACAATCACCACTGATCAGTTACTTGGTATCCTCTGTCGTCGTCGTGGTGTAGGTGGTTCTTCATCTCGGGGTCGCCTTCGTGAACTAGTTGGTTGAGATAATCTGACTGGCATAGTATCTATCTCTTGGCTATCTATATCAGAAGACCAAACTATGGCTATTGAAAAAATTCTATTTTATCTTGGAGAAAATAACTACATCAACTACAAATTTTGGTGGTGCTCTCCCCCTTTCTTATATTCTTGGGTGAGCAAGCTTTAGAAAGAAGCTATTGTCGAACCTGCTTAGGTTTATGAGGATGTTGTTGATGAAATTCCTGTATCTTTTGTGGCGCATTGGTGAGATTTTCAGCTGGCTCCCACGTTCGCTCATTAATGTCGTAGCCGCACCAATGAACAAGATACTCCAACTTGCCCCACCTTTGCCGAGAATCCAACACCTTTTCAACCTCGTATTCCTCGTGGTTCTCGATCTCAATACTAGGTGGCAGACATTGCACTCTTCCAGGAAAAGATGACTCTCGATAAGGCTCTAACAAAGAAACATGAAAGACTGGATGTACTTTCATAGAAGCTGGTAATTCCAGACGGTACACCACTGGATTGATTTGCTTTTGGATGATAAATGGTCCCAATCTTCGATAGTCCAACTTATCACATGGTCGCTTGGTCTTGATATTCCTTCGAAGAAGCCATGTTTTATCTCCAATTTTGAAAGTAGGTGCTTGATTCTGAAATCTATCTGCAGACGCCTTGTAGGATTCTTGAGCAGATTGTAATTGAAGCTTCAACGTATTTTGAAGCTCTGATAGTTGTTTCGTAAATACTTCAGCTGCTGGATTGTTATTTGTTGATGGACTCAATAAATCAAGCTTTGGATGATACCCATAGTTGGAAAAGAATGGTGTGTATTGAGTCGACGCATGGAGGGTGTTGTTATATGCAAACTTGGCTAGCGACAGATATGTGGTCCAATCGTCTTGTTGATAGTTGATGCTGCATCGTAAGTATTGTTCCAAGATTTGGTTCATCAGTTCCGTTTGACTATCAGTTTGAGGATGAAAAGCCGAAGAAAGCTTGATATCCACCTTCAGTATCTCAAAGAGAGATCTCCAAAACTTTGATACGAATTGGGTTCCTCGATCTGATACGATATCATCTGGTAGTCCATGATATCGATACACATTATCGAGAAAGAGCCTTGCTATGACTTCATTGGACGATGTCTTCTTGCAAGGGACAAAATGTGCCATTTTTATAAGCCGATCTACCACGACAAAGATGCTGTTAAATGAGTTCGATGATGGCAGGTCCGTAATGAAGTCCATGGAAATTGAAGACCATGGTCGACGTGGAATCGGCAATGGCTGTAGGAGTCCATAAAGGTGATGCCAAGGATTCTTGGATCTT